GGCAGATCTTTTATCAGGTTTTGATAAACGCGAATGTAAGTCAGAATTGTGTTTATCTTTAGCTATTGCAACTATACGTTTAAACAGCGCTGCGTGAAATTTATAGTCAACCCAATTTTTCAGAGTATGGTTGTGACGTAAACGTTTCCAAGCAGCCTTGCGTCGCCTATACGCAAGCGTACAATCTTCATTCCACCAAGCTGAATTTGACAGTGTGCTGCCGTACTTAACAGAAAACTCTGCCGACTGGACAGAGTCACTTAGACACGCTACGACTGAAGCAGCTCGTTGCTGTCCGACGCGTCCTCTCAATGACGAGAGCGCGGAGTTTAAAACAGTTTTATAAATTTTATAGTTGGTGAACCGTTGTTGCCGGCTAGCAGAGGTAAGTTGTGGACAATGACTCGGTAGCCAATGGCGATGCGGCTTAGGGTGCCACGCGTTTCAAACCGCTCAAACCACGTGATAAAAAGGCCTCGTTTTTTTATTTTTTTTTGCCCACGTACGAAACTGGCGGTTGTCGGAGCTGTAAGAAGAAGGCCGAACGTAACTTTCCCAACCGATCGCGATGGCGGGCGGCACTGCGACGGGGAGCAGCGCGCAGTCAAAGATGGCCAATATCTGCGCAAATTCACCAAATTTTGAGCCACCGCGATGCCTTCATACAAATTTTTTTGCATTTTGCGGTTCGAATTTAGTTTTGAAATTTTCACAGATGAAAGAAGAAGGTTTGAAGATTACAACGCAATAAAAATCAGCAATATGAGAAATTTCGCTAAAAACGCGATTTTTCGACTCGCATCTCCCCTTAAAGCCATGGTAGAATATGCCTAGGGGGACTTCCCTTGCTAGCGTTGGTGGTGTGTCTTGTTGAGAGTGAGTAGATCGATTGTTGTAACGTGTTTGAACTTGTCGCCACGTTGAGTTATCGTTTTCTGCTCGCAATTGGTTTCTATCTGTTGTTGTTGGTTTGCAAGAACCTTGTCGAGTTGGTATGAGAGCCATGTGGTCTACATCCTGGGGTGAGCGAAGCTTAGAGCAGGTGGATTGTAAACCAAGCCCGAACCGAGTGATTACGGAAGCCTCGTGGGTGGTCTGATTTTTTTTAAATAGCTTCTTCTATCTTTTCGGGCTCAGGGAGCCAGGTGTCGTTGCTGTCTGGTATTGCGGCTCGACGCCGGGCGTGGTAACATCGTCCGGGACGGTGGATCGCTCGGTGAGCTGCTGTGTTCAGCGAGCGATAGGGCCACCTTACAGAGTGAATGTCTCCTTGCCGCTGCCTCTTCTGCGCCTAGGCTGGGTGCTGAGTGGATGCTGGTTGTTGTCAAGCGACTAATTAGGCCTAAGGCTCTGCACAGCCGCCAGTCGCATGTGGCACAACTAAGTGGATCGTGGCGTTGAGGTGTTGCACTATGCTTCCCTCATTTTTTTTTTATCTTGCGATGCATCAGTTAAGAAAAGCAACATTTATTTTATTTTGCTGGGCGTCTCGGCCGCCGTCGATGTATTAGATAGCAGTTCTGACTATCTTACCACATGGACGAGAAGCTTGAAGTTCCCTTTTCTTTGCCCTACTGAATCGAATCGTTCTTCCTAGTCCTTGGAATGTACGCAGTGGGGGTGATGTAACCCGCGGCTGGCGGTCTTCTGCACATCATCGTCAGTGCCGCTGGCCAGGAATGTGGTCATGAGGTCGGGCGGTGGACATGCCTGGGACCTGTGCAACTTCCTGCAGTCCGGCACCCTCTTGAGTGCTGGGCACAACTGTCGCCGACAGCAACATTGCTGTTGCGGGACCGGTACTAAGGTGAAGTGGTCGAGGCGGAGAGTGCAGCAGTGTCTACCAGTGGCGGTGTTGTAGCACACAGACATTACGTAGGGACATCGGTTGTCATGTTTTGTTAGAGCTTGTGTAGTGGATTTCTGTTTTTTTGGGGGATATGGTTTGAATTAAGATTAAGGGAATGAGAGGGTGATGACAAATTTTGTAAAGCTGTTTGCGCACGTGTCTCGCGCAGAAGCTGTAATTCGGGGTCAGAACTATTCAGCGGAAGGTGAAGTTGTGCTTGCGAGCGTTTATCGCCACCATCATCATCATCATGATTAGAAAACGTTAGCGCCCGTGGCGACGCCTGGCGGGAAGCCTTGGTGGTGGCGCGCAAAAAAAGAAGCTGGTCTCTTTTGGCATGAGTCGGTAGCGCGGACGGTCGCCTCCAGCAATGGGTCTGTCGTGGACAGCGGCACCTCGGGCCATCTGCGGTGGGCCCACGTGATGAATCAGGCGTTAGTGGCACCGCCTTGTTTGTCATGTTGTTAAGTGTTGTTTAATATTGTGTAAAGATGTCCTAGTGTGTTGATCCTGATAGATGTTACAATAATTCGGCTGACAATATCGTTGATCAAAAAGTAGTTAAATAAATGTCTGTTGGCTTGGTATGTGCCGACCGTGGCTGCTGTGTCCGTTCACTCTAAGAGCATGGCCCTGGCCACATCGAGACCCCACAAATTTTTATTTGGGTGAACCTGTGCCCAAAAATCAAAATGTCACTCTGCAAGCAATACACGCAGTAGACATATAGCAGCGAACATAGAGCATCTGCCATTGAGTATCTGCCAAACAGAGAAGTGCATTGCCATTTATACATGTCATATTGAAGATTTCAGCGTTAAGTTCCAGAACAAACTATAATGTACACATTGTGCACGTAGTCTCATCGGAAGATTCTAAGATTATTCAGATGGTTCCCAGTCATTCGGGTGTGGTTTGAGCAATGCAGCGTTACACGTTTAATGGTGAGGTAAGAAAAATAGAAAGAAGGAGCATGTGCATCAATACCATTACAACATTACAAATTGTTGCTATTGCAGTCATTGCTTTACCAGTGAAACTGATTTTTATCTTTTGCTGTTTATATGGTTCGACAGTCTCTATCGTAGAGCATGTGCGGTGCTCGGTGGTTGCTCTGCAACAGTGCGGTGAGTTTTTTGTGACTACACTGCAGTCTCTATAGTGTGACTAGCAGCACTGCTGTTAAAACACATGCAGTGTAGGCCGCTTATAACGTAACCGCTTATAGTGCAGAACCGGTCATAATGCGGTCTTTTTTTACTTTCGTTCACCTTCACGAAGAACACCATGCATATGCATACTGCTTATTGTCCAGTCCCCCAAGATGAGAGACTGATTATAATGCCGTTATTGGAATACCTTTGTGACGATCGCAAGTAGCGAGTGCAGGTCTGAAAGGAGGTGCGCAGGGTGAACGACTGGGGAGCGGGCGACGAAGTCGTTATGGAGGAGGATGGGACGCAGACTGAACGAACGAAGGACGGAGGGAAGAAAAAAAAAAGGAAAAAAGACCATGGCAAGCTGCAAGGGCTCACCATGGGGAATCACCTCGGCGATGAATAAGTCTTCACGTCAACGCGAATTAGCGTCGCTAGCGTGAGTCTGGTCGCGCGCGGCTCTACATGGCACGTGCGCTCTTGGCTTAACAGTTTCCTGTCGAGAAAAGTGTAGTTATCGTGCTCGCTACAGATACCGCGTTTGCTACCTCGTCCGTGAAGCTAAAACCTTCTACGGCTTTGTGATGTGAGCTTTCGCCTTGGCTGGCAGCGCGCTGTCTTACGTCAGCCTGGCAGGTTTTCATTGTTGATCTCATAGCCGCGAACACGAACTTTGTATCGCGCATGCTGTTCTTAGTTCAGTGCTTGAGTGCGGTCTTTTCGACAACGGATCTTCATGTCTTGAACAAACTTCCCGTGACAACATACCGAATGGCAGGATAGGCCTAATTGGCGTTGGTTCTGTTTCGGTAGCGGTCGTGTGCAATATAAGTTGCGGTTTACTGCGGAATCAACAAAAGTTTTTGCGGTGGCTGCACTTCATGAAAAGAGACACATATCGTTAATGAAAACGAGTGTGGCATGTGTAGCGCTCTAATGGTGGTTCGCAATTGAATAGCGACATCTTTAAATCGGGTGCGCGCCCGTGAAATCGAATGATTGGCATCTTTCAGAGAGTAAATTTCTGACGTGATTAGGCATTGTGTAATGCACATAGTTGAGGTGGTCTGAGAAGCAGTCGGCGAATTTCCGCAATGGTGATTTCTCTTGTTAGACACACCCCCCCCCCCCCTTTGTTTTTTTTATTCCTTTCGTTGGCAACGCGTGTCTTTGGACGTTGAATTTGTTTTAACATTAAAAAATTTAAAACGTTGTGGGTGCCAGGCATCGCGTGCTTCAATTCTCGTACGCACGAGGCTTTGCTAAACACGTTTTGCACAATCGCGGCCCTTGAAAAAGGTCATTTTGATTATAGTGCAGTACCACATATAGTGCGGATATTCGCGACTCCCACAACTTACATTATAAGCGGTTTATACTTCTTAGAGTCGCATAATGAGGTATGCACACAAACGCCACCTTCGCTAGATTCATGCATTCTGTTCATATGGTGCAAGATTCTTGCACGAACCGAAATAAGACGTGACCGAGCTGCATGGGATATGGATGCAGCTGCGTCCTTTGTGTAACTTATGGGTGTGGCTCTGTCGATGATATAACTTGACTAAATTTGTCATTGCACGTGCAAATGGAAGTTTAGGCACAGCAGGTCAGAGTGGTGCAGAATGGCGCAATTACCGCTGCACTTCCGCCTCCGATAAAGAACGATGAATGAATTGTTGTGCTTGACAGTGATTTCTGTGATTAAGGCTCCATGCAGGATGCAAAGCTCGCAGACTCGGGGGAATTCTGTGGACTCGTTCGTTGTAGTGGGGCTGGCTTACAGATGCTCAACGTCCAAAACTTTAAAATAAACATCAAATATTTTCAATGTACTGTCCTTCTCTGGTGTGTGGAGGGCATTAATATTACATAACAAGGAAACGAAAAATGTCTGTTTCGTGGTGCCTTAAAACCATGTCAGGGCTCCATTAAGGCAACGTCTCGCCACCAGTTTTCACAATGTGCATCGAGAGGCCACAGTGTGCACTGACCTTTTCGCGAGGACAGGAGGTCGAGAAGGAATCATCAAATGAGCTGTCTGCCACTGAGGAGTCACAGGAAGAGAGGTCTTCGGCCAATGTGTCAGCCTCAAACGGACAGAGGTAGCCGTCTGCACCCTTGGCCCGTCGCCAGCGCAGAGGGCTCTTTTTGGCAGCCTGCAAACATTGAAGTGAGAGGTGGGGTGTTGCCCTCGTTCAGAACTGCTAGCCACGATCATGGATTGTGTGTAGCAGTACAAGTGAAAAAGGAACCTTTCTACAACGATGTTATCCAGAGGATAAATGGTTAAGTGTGCACTGAAAAGGTTCCTCATCAATCTGCAATGATCCTTACACCTATGGGTCCCTTCAAAAACATTCTGGATCTGAACGAAAGTGCAAGCAACTTGCTCCAAAAACATTCTGAATCTCAACAAAAGTGCGAGCAACTTGCACGGCTGGTGCAAGGCTGGACTAACAGTGTGGCCGACTGAAATTATTAGCAAGATCATAATTAGCATAGCCTTAATTAGCAGGGTCAATTATAAAAAGAGGAACTTGTTGGGGCTGCTTTTACAGCCATATCCCTTTCTAGTGCCTTGAAAATTCCAAGGCTGTATGGAAAGAACAAAGGTGAGAGGGGGTGGGGTAGAACTAGTATTACAACAGCGATGCAATCAATGCCCACCCATTTTTCTGACTGTGCATTGGCTCGTTCAACTTAAAAACTGGACCTCCCTTCATGCATGATACCAGATCTACAGCTTTGTCTATATGCTTCACTGACTGTGGTGGGTACTACACCCACACAACTATTCCCTGTTACCTTGCTCACTCCTGTAGTATTTGCGCACCCTGCTGATTAACTATAAGATTTGTGGGTGCCAGGACACATCTCCCATCCATCCAAGAGCAAACCTGCGATCCTCCACCCCAAACCACACACCCCTTACTGTCGCCGTGCATGTGATTTCCCACCCTACAGCTTATGGCTTCAGGGGTGCAATGGGATCTTATGGAGCATAGATGATGCAATCTATTCCTGTACAAAGGGGTGGAAGCCAGACATAAAAGTGGAAAAGCCTAGACAGCTAGTTGTATTCCATAAACGCGGTAGTACATGGATAGGCGCAGGTGGCTGCGTTTACATAATCTTTTATTAGAATTTCAGGCGCTCCCTCTTCTTTCTACAGAAACACCCCGGATATGTACAGGTCATAATGAATAATGTGACACATGAACAGCGTAGAAAGCAGTTAACCTTATCATAGAAGGCATACAGAAGTTGGGACTGCTCAATGTTACATTCTATACATTTTCGACTTTTTCATCCCTGCCAGGTGCATCTGGCCATGACACATCCAAAGTAGGGCCTTAGTTTTGGAGCATACCGGGGAAGTTTGAAACACAGAAATGAGATGTTCTGAAGTCAAGATGACAAATAGGGATAGAAAAAAGGTACGATAACCTTGTTTGCTGCTAAGAGCAGCAAGCAAGCTGTGCAGCGAGTGAGTGAAAGCAGCAGTCGAGTCAAGTTCTGAGCTGTTGTAGAGCAGCGGCTCTCCTGAACTCGACGCGCCGTAACAGGCATGCCAACAGAGTACCAAAAAAGAAAAAAAATAACAGAACCCCCCGATAACGGCATACCTGTGGCAAATGGTAGAACAACTCTTGTACCAGTGATCACGAAGAGCTGTACCGCCAGCAAAAAAAGGGTGAGTGCAGTTGTTCCATACTTTTGAATACACATACTAATGTCGCAAGGGGCAAAAATATGTGCTTACAGAAAAATTCAACAGATGGCACAACTAGTATAACTATGCTACATCACACTAGCTTTGCTTTTCGACACAATTTTTTAATACACAATGAGAAATGTGCCGGTATGTCAGTGTCAGCAGAAGGGTTAGAAATGGCATCATATAAATAGATTAAACTGTAGTTACATCCAACACATAGTAAAGACGAGTAAAGACGGGTGGCATCATCATAAGCAGCCTTATTTGCTTACTTATAGATGGAACACTAAAAGATTGTTCACACTTCTGGCTAGCACTACCTGCGCTACCTAGCTAGTTGCAAATGGCTGCTTTGCCCGCAACGCAACTACTACGCTGAGTTGCCCAGTGTGTGATTTTCGAGTTGTGCAACTACAACAACAAACCTTTGCCCCAGTCAGATGTGGAGGAACAGGACATGAGCTTATTTTGCAGGGCAATGACAATGCGAGCAAATGTGTGAAGAGATGAGCACAACCAGAGATAGTGACAGCTGTGGCTGAGCCTCAAGGGAGCAAGCTCATCAGCTTGATTCAATTGCATTTGCCGCACCCACCTTGACTTTTGCGGCGGGTGACAGGGGCACATGGTCCGGGCTGGCCTGCAGTGCCCGTTTGCGCTGCACAATTTGGGGTCCTAGTAGCTGCTTTAGCTGGAGTGAAAGGTGACGCCGCAGCAACGTCTTGTTGCCCGGAATGCTTAGCACGGCCGCAAACACCTCCCATGTCATGCTGTCCTCATAGATCTGTGCGAAGGAGAAGACGGCAACAGTCAAAGAGTTTGTGATACACTCTAAAGAACATTTGGCATTCCAGTAGAAGGAATCTTTTGTTCAATGACAATTATTATCACCTGGCTTGTTTGCACCAACTACAAAGCATCGCACTCAGCACCTTCCAAGCACGAAGGCTATGCCATACAGTACAGAGGCCATTTTTGACATCAAAGTGCCAAGAATGAAACATCTAAGCAAGGAAGGACACAGAAGATAAGTAACGGTTATTGTTGTGGGATAAAAAGCCCAGAGACTCTAATGGCCAAGTCCGGCAATTTTCTAGGGCAATGGATTTCGATAAAGTATGTCAGTTTAATTAGTCGGGCCAAGTGGTAAGGATCCCTGCACTGACCAGGAATGCCCCGTGGACACCGCTGCCCCGGAGGTTGGGGGCATACTCAGACAGGTCCACCGTGCGCAGCCACTCCATCACCCTGTGGTTGGTCCACAGGGACACATCCAAGGGACTGTACTGCTTGCACTGCAAAACACAACATCGAAGCAAAACCATGCTGACTACACACACCCTGAAAATATGAAGCACACATCAGCTAATCTTGAAGGCTATGCCAAGGAATTGTGCTAGTTCTCATTCGTCTAGGTTCTTTGTCATTTCAAACAAGTGGCAGTACAATAGTATTTGAATTGAGAGTGCTACCAACAGCATATATATTTCCAGCTCTTAATGATTCCATCTATTTTGATCCCAAATGTCGTACAGTGAAACCTCGATTATACGACTTTGAATGCAGGTTTGGCAAACCTGCATTTGCACTACCCCCTCCCACTTAAAGGAGAACTGACAAAATTTCAAAATGCAGATGTGCCCTTCCTTCGATTTCTTGGTGTGCGGAGGTCCTCCTGGCCAAATTTGAATCACCTCCATTGCGTGGAAGTTTTTATTTCGACGGCAAACAGTGTATCAGAGCTTAATGAAAAATGGAGTGCCTTGCGACATCGACACTAGTGCTACATGTTCGGTGCTATACATTCGCACATACCATCCTGATTGACGATGCGTTAGTAGCAATGATGTCTATGATCCGAGTGTTCTTGTAGTGGTGCCGACAAGCTCTGAAACCTCCTAACACACTTACTCGTCACGTCTGATCTTCATTACAACACTTTGAATTATTTTGTTAAATTATAAAGATGCGAACCGCCATTAAAAATCGTCAAAAAGAAGAGCATGATTCAATGGCTGTTCAGTCAGCATGTCGGGGAATGGTTGTGAGTTGGGAGTCGCCTGGTTCGAAACGCGGAAAAAGTGCGATGAGAGTGTCTTTTTATTACACGTATGTTACACGCAACAAGACCACAAGCTATTGAAGTGGAGTAGAGTTTAGACAGCCATCATCACTAACAAGTAATGGCAGGTATCAATAAGAGTGAATTTCAGTCCATCCGTAGACTTCTTTGCGTCTGCATAATACCGAGTTACTGTCGCGGCCAATGTGACATGCCAGATTGGTGGGGCCATCTGGAGGCGCAAAATAGAACCTTGCAAGCAGAGGAAACGTATTCCATTTTTTCGCTGGTGCACATTCCCTTACCGATACTCGCTTGACGCCTTTGCGTATACCTGAATGCAGTACAAGGCCAAAACACACCAATATAGCTCATTAAGACGCACGAGCGGGCATTGCCGAAGCATGTCTCCTCGGGCACCTCCTTAATGCAGCTTGGAACAGCGTCCATTTTGAAATCGCTTTTCTGCAAAAGTACGATCGAAGCAAAAATGATTCACAATGTTGCTAATCATGGCGATTCGAAGTGCCAGACACTCATATTCAATTCTGGTCGATATTTTGTACAGCAACGGTGGCGGATGACAAGGCATGACTGAATGTGTGTACAAGCAGACGAAATGTTTGTGGAGCAGCTGAGCCTGACATCACTTTTTTCTGTGAAGAAGTGGTCAGTTGTGGCACTATCTGTAGGTGACCTTGAGATACCGCCACTGGTAGCGCTCCTAGCTCTAAAAAAGATGGGATTGTCGGTCGTTTTCAATCGTGCTAAATACCAGTGATATATCAATAAAAGTGATATTTATTTGTTTCTCAGTTGCGTTATAGGTAGCGAATCACTACTAGAGGGTCGATAGCTACTCGTTGACATAAAAATCCTGACATGAATAAAGTTTATGTCAGTGCTCCTTTAAGGGGGGACACGGGTCTTAAAAGGCCAAAAATCGCGAAAAAAAACCGACTGTTTGAAGTTGACATTTTCGGAATCTGCAACTATTTTTGCACTTATCTGAGAAGTTTCAAGCTTCTCGCACCATTATTTCTGGCACAAAATCAATTTATAACACCCCTGTGAGATGAATCTGAGCACAAACAGATGCTAAAGTCGCGCTTTTTTCACGCCGAACTGTTGCCATTACACGCAAGTTATCGTGGGCATCTTGGTCTTGTTTGGAAGGGTCGTTCTTCATTTTCAATTTCCCGCCCCCCGTGGCTCGCCTTGCTCATTGGTTTTTCAGCAAAAACGCGTCATCGAGAAGCATCACCGCGCGATTCTATAGGCTGCTTGGGGGCACATGACAAAACCTAAGCACCCGATTGGCCAAGTGACGTTTCCGGCGTCTTTTTCATCGTGACGCGCACAGACATGCGCCATTTTGTCATGGTGCTGTCAACTGCCTGCCGCAATAAAGAAGTTCCTCGCCGCACTAATTTGTGAAGCGGGTGTGGCGATCGTTCGTTCGCTGTGAACTTCCAAAAGAGCCCCGCTATCACTCGGGACAGGGAGGATAGCAAACTCGCGGCATTCAATGGCGGTCGCAGAGCCACCGATGTAGGCCTAACTCACGAACGAGCTCGTCAGTTGTCGACAGCGTCGCTGAAAGCGGCAGTGTTTTGGAGCTTCAACAGTTACAGGACGGCAAGTAAAAAAGCAGAAGTGAAGCTACGAGAGATAGCAATCTTTGCAACGATGAAACGGAAGCACAATCTTATCGCAAAACGCGCCGATGCCGCGAGTTCCCCCGTCGATTGTGAACTGCGTGACAGGTCGTCAGAGTGGAGTTCGCCGCACGTCGGCAAACAAAAAATCAATCCGGTTACGATGAACGTGCTCGCCGCCCACGCAATGGAGGCTACTGGCAACAGGTAGAGTGCTTGTAACGACGCGTCTGCAACGATGAAGATATTGCACCATGGCCTCCACTCGAAAGTGTGGCAATCTTACGTGAAAAGGAAACTTGACACCTCGCTGCTCTTGGAGTTGATGAGCGAGTGCACGAGTTCAATCTGCGACGTCAAAAACTCAATCTGGAAAAGCCGGAAAACCGCTACGATGGATCGCGGATTACGCGCGCACATTCGTTGCACATAGGCGTCACCAAACTGATAAGCGGCCTAGTCGGCAGATGAGCACACGGTGACCGCTTCCGCTCACAAGTGTGCCTCTGCGGAAAACATGCAGCGGGCATTGAAGAAACGCCATTTAGGTGACGCAAAACAGAAGGACTACATGCCTGGTGCCTACTGAGGAAGCTTAATTTGCAAATCATTGTGAATAAACAGCTTTTCCATGCTACTGTCTGCCCAAAATGGACTTGTGTTATTGCCTGATTTCTCAGGATTCAAATTTTGCTGTAGTTGCAAACTTGTCTAAAAGATATCTCTGCCTCCAGAGCAGCTAGGACTGTCATTTTTGCTGTGACATGTCGCTGTATTTTTAGTTTACACAATGGTTGGTGTGAATTTTTGACTGAGATTTTCAAAAAATTTAATTTTTGCCAGAAATTGGAGCATAAAGTGGGTGTGTCTGTAACACTGAAATGCAAGGTGTGACAAACCTTGCTAAAATTATCAAATCAAAAAAAGCGCTCCTACCGTTCTGTAGCTTATGTTCATTATTACACAGGCATGTGCCAATAGCAGCTCTGCAATACAAATTTCTCGTGTCATACTGACACACAATAGGTAATTAATTTTATGATATCTTAAAAACTAATTTGTTTAGAGGAACAGAAATTACATTTTTGAAATCAGCATCAGAAACTCAATCACACAGTCAATTTTCTTTAGAAACACGTGAAAATATCTGGCATTTCGTCTGAAGAACAGTGTCCACCTGTAAGGGGAGATGCTACTCGAAGACACTTTTCTTTAATATTCACCCTAGAGCAATGAAACTTGAGCTGTTTATGAAAAATTTTATGCTGATTTCAAATATATAATTAGTTTTTTTGCAGGTTACACACTTTTAGCTCTGCAACATGACAAAATGAAAACCTTAACCCTTTTGCCCTCCCTCTTTTCATCCCTAAAATTCTGTAATTTATTACCATTCATAGTTCATAATGTTTCAAATAAAGTGTAGAGTGTAAATAACTAATTAGGAAGCACACACAAAATATGTAATTCGCGTGAAAAATAATAGATATAAAAAGTCCATTTTTCACCTATCTTAGTAAAGGTATGCATACAATTTTTTTATTATACAATAAAATGTTGGAATTTAAACACGATAATTGCATTTGTCATACTTTGGAAAAAATTTGGGCAAAATTTCATGCAGATCCGAGCACTAGAAGCGCCCGAAAAAGGAGGAGCACATTGCAAAAAATGGCAAAATTTGTGTTTTGAGAATGACGAGTTTTAAAGTTAAATTGAGTTTTTATTTATGAAAGATATTATTAAATCAGATGAAATTTGCACACCAAAAAGAACAATCCTTCTTGTAGTGGCCACTGCGACTAAAATACGCCAGCACCATGAGTTTGTCCCTCTCGGCGTTTTCGAGCTGACTCCTCACAGACATTTCGCTCACAGACAGGGCCATGAAACGCTTGCCAAACTTCCACTCTATCTGGCAATCTGGCAGAGCTTTGTGTCAACTGCAAGCTAGGGAGAAGTTCGACAGAACTGCGAAATCCAAACTAAGTCCAGTGTCATGCCATTTTGCAGCCATGTTTGTCCCACATACCGTCGTACATAAACGGCAATCTCGTCCCTGCTAAGTTCTCTCACTGCGAGCTTTTTAGACCTCTCAAGATTGGTGCTGATGCCATCCATTGCCGCATCACGAACTTCCCGGCTGACGGGTGTGAACGACTTTAATGCATTGGCTTTTGCAAGCCAACAACTGCCGCAAATCGGACCAGTGGCTTCTAGCGTATTCCTACAGAGCGCGCTCGCACAACGGCTTTCACTTGCGCGCAATGCCTTTTTTCATTCATAATGGAGATAATTACACGAGAAAAGCATTGTTCAGCTGCGCTGCTCGACAAGACATGGACCCCGCAAATAGATTTCACAGCACATACAGGCGCGCAACGGCCAATGGCGGTCCCCGATTCGTACCATGTGATAAGCCAGTCGCGGCGCTCGAAAAACGCGCAGAAGAGTGAATCTTTTTATTATTTCTTGCGCTGCATCAGCGAGACAAACTGTTGTTATTTGAAGAGTGAAGCTCGACTCTTCGACTCATGCGATCAACAATGGCTAGCGACGGCGCATTATCGGCGGC